AAGGGAGGTTTCATGAGGAGTTAATATTGATTTCGGATTTTTTTTAAAAAAAAATTATTTATTTATACATGCAAGAGCTGGGGTACAGGCCAGGTATGCGGAGTGTGCGAGGATTCACCCGAGACAGAGGGGGGAGCAGAACAGGCAGACTGACTGAAACACTCTGCTGAGGGGAGCAGTGGGCGAGACAGGAGCCGTCTGCCTCACCATGTGGGTTTCTTGCTGGCCAGCTGGGGATCAAACTTCTTGCACCACCAGGGAGGCCCTGATTTTGGATTTAAAAGAAAGAATAGGATTCCTTATGGAGAAAAGGGAATTACTAAGGGGAAAAATGCAGTGGGTACAGGCATGTGAATACAAAGAAAGTGCTCATGTTACAGAAAAAGATCACCATAACCTGATCGCACCAGGTAGATGAGGGGAGCTAAATAGGAAAGACAAATACCCTATGATTTTGTTCATATATGGAAGATAAAGAAACAAACCAAATGAAAAAATAACTAAATCACTAAATGAATAAAAACTCTTAGATTCAGGGAAGAGAATGGTGGTTGGGGGTTAGGTGAAATGGGTAAAGGGAGTCAATTGTTCAGTGGTGAATGGAAACTAGATTTTTGATGGAGGATATGATGTAGTATACACAAATGTTAAAATACAATGCTTACACCTGAAATTTACATGTTATAAACCAATGTTATGTCAATAAAAAATTTTAAATAAGTTAATAGGAAGTCAATTGGGAAGGTAATACAGAAGTCATTTTGAGGACCTTAGACGGAATCTGGTCATCATTCAGAGGTTGTGGGAAGCTTTAAAGGTTTGAATTAGAAAAGAACTAGTGTGAATTTTACATGACTATCAACTTAGTAGCACTATGAAGGGTAGACTGGAGAGGCAAAAAAAAAAAAAATACAGGAAATATGAAATATGCTGGAAATATGAAACAGGAGCTCAAAAGTATATAGGGGATAAAGATAGAAGAATTACCACAATAGGGGTGTTGGGCCAATGAGTGGGCAAAATTCAAATACTGAAAATGTTTTTTTAAGTATATTGTCAGTTAAAGTGTTTACCTTAATTTTACTCTCTGCTTGCACTTATTTTACCCCAACAAGACAGCCCCTAGGGTGGGAACAGTATCATGTTCCTGCTTGTCTTCCAGTTCCCTGCACAGTACCTGGCATGTGAGCTCAACAAATATTTTCCAAAGAAAAAGAACGTGCAGCGCCTCCCAGGTGTTGCAGGCAGTTGACTGCATCACTGTGAATCTGTCCACAGCCTCTGCAGTTTCCAAAGAAAAAGAACGTGCAGCGCCTCCCAGGTGTTGCAGGCAGTTGACTGCATCACTGTGAATCTGTCCACAGCCTCTGCAGTGTCGGTTTGATCCCAGCCAGCCGCGGAGCAACCCACATGGCATGGCAGACCTCTCCTGTCTCGCCCGCAGCTCCCCTCAGCAGTGTATTTCGTCAGTCTACCTGTTTGGTTCCCCACTCTGTTTCTGGTGAATCCTCTCACCCTCCCGCACATCTGGCCTGTACCCTGGTTCTTGCATAAATAAAATAAATCTTAAAAAAAAAAAAAAGAAAGAAAAGAAAAAGAAAGAGAACGTGCAGAGGAAGGAGAAAGGGAGAGGAGGTAAAAGCAATATGGACAAGTTTTGATACAATGGAGAACTGGTGGACATTTTATTGGATGGATTCACATTTTTTCAGGAAGTATCTGATAAGTTGCAGAGCATCACAGGATTGAGGATAGGGTTAAGGACTTAAGTAGAGTGAAGCAGTTTGGAACAGCTGTGTCAGAAATGTGCTCAGGAGACTCTCATAGGCTTATAAGCCTTTTTTTAGAGCTGTTCTGTATATCTGGAATGCTCCCTCCAGCCATCTCCTCCCTGCCTCATTTGTCTCTTAGTCTACTCAACTTTCAAGGCCTAACTTAAATGCTCCTAACAAAATTTTCTGGGACATTCTGACACTATTGCAACTTAATTATTCCTTTTTTTATGTTTATGCTCCTCACCTTGTTAATCTCATTAGATTATAAATTATTTGAAGAAGATTTTATCCATTTGAATAGCGTCCTCCTGCCCTTATGAGAAAGTCACTCAAAAAATGTTTGCTGATGTGTAAATCATGGGAATTTAAGAATATGATTGCTGAGTGGCCTGAAGAAAAAGGCATCTTTTTTTGTAACTCACAGGTAAAGGTTGCGATGCAGGCAGATGAAAATTCAGTAAAATCAAGACTATTTTTGAGGTTGGGGAAATTTAAATGTTGGTCTCCCTACCCAGGAAAACAAAGACATTAGGCTCATGTGTATTTTATGGAAGGAACAGACATAATTTTTCCCCACCTCAATTTTACTAATTCACCAAGGCAAAACAGAAGAGTCAAACAAGGAAGCCCTCAGTATCAGAACTGAATTTTAACCATTAATTTCTATTCCTCCTTAACTCTCTAATCCCCTCATTTGGACTCTGAGCCTTTGTAAGAATAAAAAAAGGTTTTCAGCTTTTTCCTCCTACACTTCCAAATTTTCTGGAAGAGCAGTGAAATGAAACAAGCAAGAATAATGATGTAAACAAGAACAATGGACTAGGTGCATTAGATTGTGTCTTTTTCGTTCACCTAAGACAGAAGGAATGATTTCTCGTACACGTGTTACATTGAGCCACACCAAGGACAGCACTATTCCTGAATGTCACAGACCCAGGGCAAAGGTACCATAAAGGGCTCTTGGTATGAGCAAGGTAGGTTTCTCAAATGTGGTCATGACAATCAGATGGCAATGGATGTTCTAGAACCATTGAGAGGCATTCTAGACAGTAGCCTCCAGTCCAACAATCTCCTTCAGTGGCATTGGCCTCCAGCAGTCCTAGTTGCTGCTCCAGTGGCTTCCTTGAATGTATAAGCTAGCAGTTTACTCTGACCTTTGCTTCATCTTTCTTCTTTTGCAGATTGCACAAAGCAAAATTCAGCTGAGTAAATTTAAAGATCTAATTGACTTTATTAAATGATTTATGAATCACTTATGATTCATAATAATTGATTTATGAATCAAGTAGAAAGGTGCTCCAAAGAATTATACAGTAGGTTTTTCCACAGAAAGGAGCTGAGAAAATAGAAAGGGAGGGTTATTTCAGGCAAGGTCACCTTCCTACAGGAGAAGAAAGGTCTATCAGGTGGATTAACTCATTAGTGCTGATCAGGTAATTCCATATTGTCAGGGTAAAGGTTATATTTCTGGGAGAGGCTAGAATGCAGTTATGTATTAAATCTTTGTTTGCTAACACAAGGCTTAGCATAAGTGACTCTATTTTGGGCCTGTTTTCTCTTTTTTAATAAGATGGATCGGTTCAAATATTGTCTTTGCTACCTGTCTCTGAAATCGTAGTAATAGCCATTTGGAAAAGTCATATGAGAAATAAACAGGAGGGCCTCCCCAGTGGTGCAGCAGTTGAGCGCTGGGCTGCAAAGCTGCCCACAGCCTCTGCAGCACCGGTTCAATCCCTGGCCACCGGCAAGGGTCCTACATGGTGCACAGACCCCTCCTGCCACTCCTGCTGCTCCCCTCAGCAGTGTACTTCATCAGTCTGTTTGTTCTGCTCCCCGCTCTAGCTCTGGTGAATTCGCTCACCTTCCCGCGCTTCTAACTGTACCCAGTGCTTATTTAAATAAATAAATCTTTTAAAAAAAGAGAGAGAGAGAGAGAGAGAAATAAACAAGATTTAATTCACACAGCACAGGAGTGTAGTGCATTTTGTAACTCAAATACAAGTGGTAGAAAATACAAATGTTGGTTTGCAAAAGGGAAAGGTAGTTACCCCCCAAACCTTACCCTCTATTCACTTAGTTTTTTTCAGTCAACTCTTGATACCATTTGTTGTGCATTTTCTTTTTATTTATAAAGATTTATTTTTATCTATTTATGCATACAAGAACTGGTGTATAGGTCAGAGGTTTGGGAGGTGAGAGGATTCACCAGAGACAGAGTGGGAAGCAGAACAGGTGATTCTACTGAGATGCACTGCTGAGGGGAGCAGTGGGCAAGACAGGAGAGATCTGCTGCACTATGTGAGTTTGCTCCCTGGGTGGGTATCAAACTCATGCTGCAGTGGCATGATAGCTTGACAGCACTGAGACTTAAACTCCTGCGCCACCAGGGAGGCCCAGTGGTACATTTTCTACTTTCCTGGAGTTAGCTCTGTGATCTGGAGCATATAACTCAAATTTAAAATTCCTTACCCATAAAATGGAATGGTTCTGAGCGTTTAATAAAATAATTACTATTTTATAATTAAAATACTACACAAATAAGAGTGTTAACCATTCTTAAAGAAGCAAGGCCAGGATATTGTAATTTTAACCTTATTTAGACCATATTTAGAGGTCTCTTGGACCCTTAGAATCAGCCCCAGGTTGGATTATATCTCCTATTATATCCCCTTTGTTCCATTATAGTTCTCATCTTGATGTTGTGAGGACACAAAGGAAATCTTCCCATACCCCTCTGGGTTCTTGTAGCCCAGCAAATAAGCCGGCATTAGAGAGATTGATAAGAAGAAAAAAGTTTAATAATAAAATGTATCTCCCCTGTATTGAGAGGAGAGAACCCAGCGTGACTGAGTAACTCACCCATGTGACTTTAGATGCCATCTTAAATAACCTTACTAAGTAAGGGAGGCTGGGGGAAGAATGAGTAAATTTATTTGGGGATTTCACTGGGGAAAGTACAGCCACCACAAGGTGTGCACAATTAGTTCTGCCTTCTCCATTGAAAAGAGATAATTTGATTAGGTCTTCTTGGGAGAGTCCCTTACAGAGAGGAGTTTACATACAAATTTCAACAGCACTTCCACTTAGCCTTCAGAACTCTTCCCAGGAGATAAACCTTGAACCAAAGACATGTTTTGGGTGGGAGAGTTTTGCTCCCTTACTGCATCAATAGGAAAGAAAGACTGAGAATCAAACTGGTTGACTTTGCCCTGGTCTGCCCTACAGGTGATCACTTACTCCAGCCGACATGTCTACAATAACCTGACAGAGGAACAGAAAGGCCGAGTGGCCTTTGCTTCCAATTTCCTGGCAGGAGATGCTTCCCTGCAGATTGAGCCTCTGAAGCCCAGTGATGAGGGCCGGTATACCTGCAAGGTGAAGAATTCAGGGCGCTATGTTTGGAGTCATGTCACCTTAAAAGTCTTAGGTAAGACAGCCTGCCAAGGTATTTAAGCCTAATTTTTATTAATAAGATATGTGAGGGATTGACATATGCATCATAGTGATACAAAACTTCGCATTTACTTTGTATTGGACATTCAGATCACCTAGTCCAGTTCTCTGGAAAAATTATGTAAGTTCTATACATTAGCCATAATGAAAGAAAAAAAAAAAGGACTATTTTCTATGGAAGGAGTTTAAATCTTTTTTTTAATATTAAATTTTTTTTTTATTTTTTACATCGTTGTTCGTGATACCTTTATATTTAAGGTAAATATCCCAGATGTGATTCAAATCCATTTGTTTTTTGACAGCAAGAGCTACTAAATTCTACTTAATTACTTACAAATTAATGAACTTCTATTCCAGTTTCAGTATTAGTAAAACTACATTGAGCTTTCCTAATATTTCCAAGTAAACAGCAGTGTCTCTTATTTAAGAAAGGATGAGTTTCTTAGGCAGCTTCTGAAAATTGTAACCGCACCACTGGAAGCAGCTGGATTTGTGTGTGGAGATAGGCGTATTTCTGGGGGAGATATAAAGCATGTAGGCTATTGAATAGCAAAAGGCTATTGAATTTCCATAGAAAAGTTGACCATAAGAAAATGGTTCCATTTTTTCATTTCTAGACTTACCTAATGAAGGCCTCAAAAAATTTCACTGGCAATTCCCAACATTTCTATCCAGTGGAAATTTTTAGTAAAAGGTGAAAGATTTATTCAATCTGAAGAGAAACAAAGAACCCATTTCTACCATGAAATCTGTTCTTGGGGGATCTTTGAATCACTACTTCTTGTTTTTGCCAGTGAGACCATCAAAGCCCAAGTGTGAGCTGGAAGGAGAGCTGACAGAAGGAAGTGACCTGACCTTGCAGTGTGAGTCATCCTCTGGCACAAAGCCCATTATGTATTACTGGCAGCGAATTCCGGAGAAGGAGGGAGAAGACGAGCATCTGCCCACCAAATCTAAGATTGGTAAGTTATCTTCCTACCCATCCTGAGACAGCAGGACGGCACTCTGCCACGCATTCACACCTGGCTTCGTTAGCAACTTGCCATGTGGCATTAAATACACTCCTGAATCTCTTTGAACTTTTATTTTTCATACATATAGTGGGACAGAAAAATCTGTTTTTCTTTCTCCAAAGGGTATGTATAAGTGGTGAAAGACATTAGGAAGAAATGTACTATATTTCTAATTATCTTGTTTAGTATCCCTTAGATACTATCTTTTATAACTTTGGAGGTTGCACTGCAATTTTAAAGAATTTATAATTTACCTTTCTTCCTACATTCTAAAAATTTAAAATTTCCTACATTCTAAAAATTTAAAAAGGGATCTTTTTCTACCATCTCATTCTTACTTAGTTGTATTGGACAATCTTAGGGAAATGATGTAATAAAGTAAATGATAAATACAGACCCTGTCCCTGAGGGGGCTGCAGTCATTCTCTCTGTTTGCATAGACTATAACAACCCTGGACGCGTCCTGCTGCAGAATCTTACCATGTCCTCGTCTGGACTCTACCAGTGCACCGCAGGCAATGAGGCAGGGAAGGAGAGCTGTGTGGTGCGAGTGACTGTACAGTGTAAGTATCCAAAAGGCTGGTTGTTTTTACATTGCGGTTCAGTGTAAAACACTTCTAGTCATGAGTCAGGGTAAGGTCAATGTCAAAATCTTTATTTCCAGAAGAACGTGGCTATCACTAAAATAAATTTAGTTGTTGCAAGGGCCACTCAACTGTTATAAAGCTCACCCTGTATTTACAAACATGGGAATATACCAACCCCATAAAGAAATTTTATTATATCCAGCAGGAAACGAAATGTAAATTTCCTTTATAAATCTAAATCTAGGGGTAAGTTCTACTCTGTTTTCAGAGCTCCCCTTTTGACCTCAGGGCTATATTATTTTAATATAATCACTTAAAATAAACCTAAGGTCAAAAGAGGCATATTTTGGGGTAGCATATGTTACTACCCTTCAGTATCAAAAGGGATAGTCATGCACCAAAAGCAGTAAATGTGGAATTCAGAAAGGTAGATATAAAGATCTGGAAATACTTATCTTGATCAAGGCTTATGTGATTTAAATTCATGTGTTTCCTAGGTTACATTAGATGTTATTTCAATTCATGTGTTTCCTAGCTTATGTTAGGTTTTACTTTTGTTTCTGAGAAAACAGATGTACAAAGCATAGGCATGATTGCAGGAGCAGTGACAGGCATGGTGGCTGGAGCTGCGCTGATTTTCCTCTTGGTGTGGCTGCTGATCCGGAGAAAAGACAAAGAGAGATATGAGGAAGAAGAGAGACCCAATGAAATTCGGTAAACATCCCTTCAAAATCCTTTCTAGGGCCTCCCCCGTGGCGCAGCGGTTGAGCGCTGGGTTGTGAAGCTACCCTCATCCTCTGCAGCGCCGGTTCGGGTCCCACATGGTGCGCAGACCTCTCCTGCCACACCCGCTGCTCCCCTCAGCAGTGTGCTTAGTCTGGCTGCCTGCTCTGCTACCCGCTCTGGCTCTGGTGAATTCTCTCACCCTCCCACGCTTCTGACTGTACCCAGTGCTTATATAAACAAACAAACAAATAAATAAATCTTAAAAAAAAAAAAAGAACAAAATCCTTTCTAGTAGACTTCCTTTCTAGGGCCAGTTCCATTAACAACCAGCCCACAAAATTTTCCTGTTCCTCTTAAACGTGAATTTGTTAAAAAGATTATGCTGGCAGGTAAGGAGACCCAGCCTAGGGACAGGTTTGGTTTAACTTGACTTTATTGTGAAACCATCCTCAACAGGGACTTAAAAGATCAACTTTACATTATTTTTGATTCACTTCAGAATCAGTTTCTGATTCACTGCCTTCCTGTAAAGGAATGTCAATAAAATATGGAATGGGCATAGTCTGTGGCAATGAAAGGTTTTACATAGACAAATCCCAAAATAGGAGAGTGCTGTCTATACCACCTTAAGGAGTGAATGCTTATCTTCCCAGAGTAATAGGGTTGACTGCTGGGCTAAGAAAATATAAATTTTTTTAAGCAAAGCATTAAGGCTCAGGAAATGGGGAAATTGCTATTCTTGTAAATGGCTGTGTTCCAATGGTATTGTTTGAGTTCACAGCTTGAGGAATTTATTGAGAAAAACCTCAGGAGTCAACCACAGTGGAAACTATCCCAATTCTGCCAGTATTAACATTTCTTTCTGTTTTTTCTCTTCAGAGAAGATGCCGAAGCCCCAAAAGCCCGCCTTGTGAAACCTAGCTCCTCATCCTCAGGCTCTCGGAGCTCACGCTCTGGTTCTTCCTCCACTCGATCCACAGCAAACAGTGCCTCACGCAGCCAACGGACACTGTCAACGGAAGCAGCACCCCAGCCGGGGCTGGCCACCCATGCGTACAGCATAGGGGGGCCAGAGGTGAGAGGTTCTGAACCAAAGAAAGTCCACCATGCCACCCTGACCAAAGCTGAAACTACATCCAGCATGATTCCCAGCCAGAGCAGAGCTTTCCAAACTGTCTGAATTAGAGAGGACTTGACTTCCATGCTTTCCTAGGAGTCAGGATCTTAGGACTCTTCTAGTTATTGAAGCTCAGTCACCAGCACGCAACCTCCTTGAACCAGAAGAGTGGTCATTGAAGAAGCTGCAAGCATTGCATGGAGCAGATTGAGACGAATGCTTTCCTGTGTGACACCAAACAAGAGAAAGGATATAAACTAATTGTCTTCAAAAAGGCATCTCATTGTGCCTTTAGACCAGAGTGGGGCGAAGGGGGGTGGGGGTGTCCAAATTTGTGTATTTGTTGACCAGGACCTGTGGTGAGAAAGACTGGGGAAAGGGGTAGTGAACACAGTTAAAACTTCTCTCCTGAGATGTTTTGTATGAATACTTCACTTTTCCCTTGGCAAGAAGAAATGAGGTGTTGTTCACAAATTTTCTATGCATTTCTGCAAGCCTACTGGATTATTGTGATTATTCAAACAGAACCCACAGCCTTATATTACACCTATCTGCACCATGTACTGGGCTTACCACTCCCGAAAAACTCCGAAAAAGGCAACATGTCTCTTTTATTCTGACCTGACTTCATTTGCCATAAGGTTTGGATATTAATTTCCAGAGGAACTGAAACTATGGGAGATGAATGATTGTCTCCCACTCCATCTACTTCTAATCTTTCTAGTTCTATTAAACTGCAGAAGAACTGAAAAAGGGAGTCCAAAATGGGTGACAAGGGACCATGAAAAACTTTCTACCTTAATGATGTTCTGAGGGTCACTGACAAATATGAAAGATGTATACTGGAATAATTGTGGATTTTCCCTCAAATCATGTATCTCTAAGGACTTCCCTACTGGATATCTCTGGAGCAAGAAAATATGTGCTATGTGTCATTTAACAATGTCCTTAGAAAGAAGTCTTCTAGAGAAAAAGATCTGTTAAGGATGATGAAAGATCTTGACTTAAATTCTTTTCTTCTTTCTGAGAATATGAAACCTGAATTTCAAAACTGACTAGACTAGGGAGAGAGATTGGATAGTCTCTTAATATGTCAAGAAGTGGTATAAAAAAGTTTAGTAATGCACCAAAGTTGGAGCTTCCTCCATTTCTTTTATTTAAGAAGGATGTGAACCTGTAACTTTCGATGACTCTAGGCCTTAAATTACCAAAAAGATCAGGGACTCCCAGTGTTTTCTAGTGGTATTGGTAGTGGAAGTATGTCATATATTACCTTCTGAAAAAAAGAAAAAAAAATCAGCATTTTCTTTACTTTTCAGGAAGTCTAGTTCTGGACTGGAAGGAGTGGGAGTTAACATTTAGGGGAGAGATTGTGAGGAAAACTTGTGAGTAGCACAGAAGACTCAGTGTCTGTTAATTTGTCAGCATCTTGGAAAGAATTAGAAGAAATGATTTACCAGGTTAGTTATCTGAAGAGCTGATTCACAGGAGAAGAAAAAAGTATTTGAGAAATAAGGAGCAAGCAGCACCCTCCCATAGTTTTTACTAACCTGCTAGTCAAATGCATCCTATAGTAAGAATACTAAACCTGAAAACCCTTCAAGGATGCAAGTGCAAAGGTCATATATCTTTTGGCAGAGCAAAACATTTCTTGATATTGAAAGGGTAGCAGGCAGAAAAAGTAATGCAAAATGTGAGGATGGAACCTTTGTTTCTAAAATGGGAATCAGATCCTTAAGAGAAAAGGTTGATTTGGGATTTTGTCCCATTTCTCTGGTCTTTCATTTCTACAGGTAGTTCTTGCAAGAGTGCCCTTACAAGTGCCAACGCATTTCCTCTTAAAGTCCTTTAAGAAATATCAGTTTATCTTGGGTGAAAGTTTTAACTCCCAACTTGTCTTCCTTCTTAAAAAAATAAAAGTGGGAATTAAGAGACATTAAGGAAGTAAAGGTTATCTGCTATTAGTTTAAGGTTTGCATATTTGGAATGCTTCTTATACTAACACTGCCTCATGTAAGATATAAAACTCCTCCCTTACTCTACTTTTTATTCTTCTGGTAGTGTGGTATCTAGGTAACATATCACTTCTGCTACATAATTCCGAGAATTTTCATTCCTGACGTACCTGAGCCAGACAAGTACACTATGAAGGCTGCAGCTGTACCCTCAGGAGCAATTTGCTCTTATCTTTATATTCTACCTTTGAACCTATGATTTCCTGCCTCACACCTTTGAAAGCAAGAAATCAGTCCCCTTTGCATGAAAAGGTTTAGATTATTCAAACATATTAGTTACTAGAAGACTCTCAGTTGAATATCCAGATTATTTTGGAAATCTGTTCACACTGGATATGTAACCAAAAAGTCACGGAACAGATTACTACTTCGGTTCTGAGAAATTCTAAGGAATTGAAGTTTCTGAGAGAAAAGGTGCTGAAGCGTTAGCAAAGGTAGTACACTTCTCTTTAGTCATGATTTTGGGTTCAGATATGACAGGCCTGAGCTGAAGATAAAGTTTGAGCCATGACTGATTGGTTTCAAACCATACTGCATTAACTTTCCAAGTCAGATAAAATTAATTCTTTAATATGAAACAAGCAAAAAGGAAAACCTAACTAAATGGTGTAAGAAAAAGTGTTTATAAGAAGAAAATATAGATGGAATGATGTGGGTGTTTAAAAGAATAACCATTACAATATGTAAACCAAACTGAACATTTGTAAAATAATGAAGTTGATGCCTTTGTTGTTACACTGTATAGAAAAAATTTCAGAATTGCTGTTGCAAAAGACATAATTTTGCTTTATTTCTGGTGTTAAGCTGTTTATATTTTAACTTCTAAGTTGCCTTGTAATTGGGACTGTATTTGATGACAAAACCAAATATTTATTACAACGCATCTGTATCAGCAATCAAAAAATAAATAAGTAAAGGTGATACTGTAGGAGAGGCTGAAGCTCATACAACCTGCTCTGGAAATGTTTATTAGTTTGCTGCCAACTACAGAACTCAGACTGAATATGATCTATTATTTATTGATTTCAGTCACACATGTACCAAGTGCTTTTTTCCTCACAAAGCAAGGTGCTAAGTGGTGCTAGAGATACCAAGCGATGATAGAATTTCTGCCCTTAAGAACTTTATCAAAATAAGAAATATTTACCAAGAAGTATTTTATGCCAAGGTAAAGTGCCAACAGAGAAGTACTCACCAAGAGATTCAATTAAATTTGAAATAAAATTCACAGAATTCAAGGAGGCAATTTATGCAAAGCATTTAGAACAGCATGTGGCTTGTGACAGGCACTCAAAAATTCTAATCATGACTTTATTATCCCTGGGAAACCCTAGGTCTCATACTCCTTTACTGCAGTCCCGGGATCCAAACTTTTAGATCCTGAGTATGTTTGAAACCCTTTGCACTCAAAGAGGTGTAGACAGCACATTTATCAATGATATTGAGAAACACACACACATAAACTGAATCATTGTATTTAATAAGAACATAGCTCAAGTCCTATAACAGAAATGGATGTTATCTGTCCCTCCTCCCCCAGTTTTATTGAGAAATAATTGACCTATCATTATGGCATACAGCACGATGGTGTGATTTACATATACTGTGAAACAATTGTTCTGATTTCCTTAATCACTGTTATTTCATAAGGTGCCCAGAATTAATAGATTTGGGGCCCAGTTCTTTTTTTTTTTTTTTTTTTAAAGATTTATTTATTTATGCATACAAGAGCTGGGGCACAGGCCAGAGATGGGGGGGGGGGAGGGTAAGAGGATCCACCAGAGACAGAGTGGGAACAGAACAGGCAGACTGACTGAAATACACTGCTGAGGGGAGCAGCAGGCAAGACAGGAGAGGTCTGCCTCACCATGTGGGTTTCTCCTTGGCCGGCAGGGGATTGGTGCTTAACCCCTTGCGCCACCAGGGAGGCCAAGTTCTATTTTTCCATTAATTCAGTGGTTATAACTTGTAAACAGGGAGTTCAGAGGTTACAAAGGCTGCAAAGGGTACTTCTACTTGAAAATCTGAGAAAAGGAGGGCCGCACATACAAAAGAAAACTGAAAAGAGCCGTCCACTACCTATCTTTCTCTTTCTGGAGTTGGAAGTTACACATGTTTCTAGGAAGGAAATGACACTAGAGTGAGTGTAACTAAAAAAGATGTCTACAGAATCGGAATCAAAGTCTACTCAGCTAGTTGTTTCTCTTCCCACAAATAACATCTCTGCACCTCATTTTCCTCCTAACTCAGGGATGAGTAACAGAAATCTCAGGGAATTTTAAAGATTAAGTCAGGTACCAAATTAAGTAATTCTGTAATTGTAAAAACAAATAAAATTAACTTTGGGAGGTGGGAAGAATTTAAGTACATATCTTCAAGGACTTAAGCCACTATTTCCTTCTAAAAGGCAACTATAGAAGGAAAATCCTTTCTTCCCATGTTTGAATCTGTCTAGGCCTTACTGGCTTTGACAAAGACAAGGTGTCCTCATCTTCCGACACCCTTTTTCGCACTACCTGGAGACCTTTCTAATTCCAGCCATGTGACTAAAGGTACTGTTAAGTAGTCTTCTATTTTTTTTTCATCTATCTGTGCCCACTTATTCACGCAATAGCAATATTAGCTGCCCTGTCTTTTGAAAAAGCACATTGGAAAGCATCGAAGGCACTAAGAAAGGCCCTTGGCAGGACAAGACCATTAATACAGGCCAGCAGGAACCACAGTTTAAAATTCCAGGTACTATTGTCACTAGCATTTTCAAGGCGTCTCGGCATGGTCTCTCGTTTCGTTTCTGATAAAAGTCGAAGCAGGGCAGATAACTAACCTCGCGGTACTGAAAAAAAGAGGCTCAGCACGTCAAAATCAAGGACACAGAGTTACCGGAACCCAGGTTCCTGCTGCCTCGCTGCCCTACGGGAACAAGCTCGCCACCTTTCCCTTCCCGGAGAACTGAGCCGAGCGGGGCACGGCCGGGTGGAGGGGGTGCTGGGCGCCTCCGAATCTCTCCTGGGGCGGGAGGTGGGGAGTGGCGGGGGAGTACGGACTCCGAGAAGCGGTTTTGGCCATTTTTTTTTTTTTTCCCATTGAGGGACCAGAAGCAAGATCGGGCGCTAGGGGTAGGGAAGTCAGGGCCCTCAAAGCTCCGCAGCTGGGTCCGCCAGCTGCTACGGTGACCTGAGCATTCAAGGGGCCTACCCGCCCCACCAATTCCACCCCACGCTCAGAAAAGAGAGGGTCCCCGCGGCTGAAGGGCGGCTCCCCCCCAACGCCCCATCTGGGATGGGGGGCGGGGGCGTCCGGGGCAAGTTACCCCAGCAGCGCCCTCGGGTCGGCACCTTCGGTCCAGCCCTAACCCACGCTAGCAGCGAGATGTGGGTAATGGGAAATCCGGGGGGATCTAGAGGCCCGTCTGCAATACGGGAGGTTTGTGGGGGGAAGACAGAGCTGAATGAGGACCCGGGTGGGGGAGGGGCGCAACAACCTTCGCGGCCATTTTGTCCTCGCTCCACTTCCGTCTTCTCTCTGGGGCTACCAGGCCGACCCCTCCCTTCAGGCCCTGCGCTCTTCCTCCCTAGTTCGGTACACAACGAGGTCGCGGCTACGGCCGCTGTCATTGGCTGATCGCACGTTCGCCCGCCCCGCTTTCTCCACCTCCTTCCGTCCCCTCCCACCGGCCCCTGCTGGGGGCGCAGGCGCAGAAGCGCACGCTCCCTGCTCCCTTCCCCTTCCCCCCGCCTGGGGTGACTGAGGACTCCCGCGCGCGGGCTCCGTCAGCCCCACCCTCGCTTTCCCCGGGGCCGTTCGGAGAGCGGGGGCGGGAATGAAAGTTCCAGAACGCTGCGGTGAGTGCGTCATCGCGAGGCGGGGTAGGTTAGGGGCGGGAGGGGGTGAGGCTAAAGGAGTAGATCTGGTTAGTCATTGGGCATTGTAGAGGGAGCCGCGCGCTCATTGGTCGACGGTCTGTGATGGGCAGTGGCAGGGGCGGGCCCCTTCTGGAAGGTTCTGAGGCAGGGTATAAGAGACAGGGTGGCGGGCGGAAACCGGTCTCATTGAACGCGGCGGCGTCTGTCCAGGCTGGTGTTTTCTTCGCCTGCTGAGCCGGGCCTACACGCTAGGTAAGGCCTCAGCCTTTTTAGTAAAAGTCCTTGGTGGGTAAGCGGAGAAACAAGCCATTTGGGCCGGGCCTGGAGGGTTTGTGGGAGCTCGGCGGTTTCTGGGAGCCTCACGCAGCAGCGTGCGGTGAGCCTGGTGCCCGGCTACGGCGTTTTACTGCATGTGGGAGGTGGCGGCCCTGAGCTGCGATGGGAGGGAGGCTTGTGGTGTGCGGGTCCCCATGGCCGCCGGCGAGTCGGCGAAGGGCCGCGCCCGCGCGGGGGTGGGGAAAAGGGCGCCGCATCCGCTTTGTCGGGGTTCGGGAAGCGAGCCAGCGTTCCCTGGCTGCCGGTCCAGGCCAGTCCTTAGATCTTGAAACGGGGAGGTGCAATGGCGTGTGCTCAAGGTGGGGGAAGGGGCTTTAGCGCACGTTGCAGGCGGGCCTTGTTGATTCCCGGGTTGTAGGGAATTGGGGGGAGATAACTCAGTTGTGAGCTGAGGCCACGTGCTCCACAATGTCGCAGGCCCTTGCCTTCAGCGGGCCCCGCCGCTGTTGGCACGGCAACTAGACTGCGGCATTACTGTCCCTGGCCCTCCCGCGTGGTTACTTCTGGCAAGGGTAGTGTTTTGGGGGAAGCTTATTAAGTGTTACTTGCAGAGTGGAGTCAGGCCTGAAAGCCCAGCCTAAGTTTTCAAGGAGACAGTGACACACACTTCGGAGTACTTACCGTCTTTCTAAACTGTGGCTTTTACCCCCCTAGCAACCATGTCTAAGGGACCTGCCGTCGGCATTGATCTTGGCACCACCTACTCCTGTGTGGGTGTTTTCCAGCACGGGAAAGTGGAAATAATTGCCAATGATCAGGGAAACCGAACCACCCCGAGCTATGTCGCATTTACTGATACCGAACGACTGATTGGTGATGCTGCCAAGAATCAAGTTGCAATGAACCCCACCAACACGGTTTTCGGTAAGCCTCTAGCTTTACATAAAATTATGGCACGAGTTTAAGTAGGCCAGAAAGCATGTGATTTGTGAAGTGGCCAAGAAAGGCCCACGAATAGGAAAAACTATTTTAAGAGTTCAGTGTACTTGCACAGTTCTTTCACAACTAAACTGGGAGCTAGAAACTCGAGGTATTTTGGAATAATTGGAACTAAATTGGGTGAACTTTTGCCTAGTCCTCTGTAAAGTCACTTAGGATGAGCTTTGGCTGATAGGCCTCAGGTCTTGAAATGGGGCATTGGTTTTTATATTGGAAAGATGTATGTAGAAATTAACTACGTGTTACATTTTGCAGATGCCAAACGCCTGATTGGTCGTAGATTTGATGATGCTGTTGTCCAGTCTGATATGAAGCATTGGCCCTTCATGGTGGTGAATGATGCGGGCAGGCCCAAAGTCCAAGTGGAATACAAGGGAGAGACAAAAAGTTTTTATCCAGAGGAGGTGTCCTCTATGGTTCTGACAAAAATGAAGGAAATTGCAGAAGCCTACCTTGGGAAAGTAAGTAGTACAATTTCACAGGGAAGTTTGACTCATCTGAGAACACAAGTTAATTATAGCTTATAGCTATCAAATTGGATGATAATGCTTATTTTTAACATTAATGGTGAAATATCTGGAGTTAAGTGCCCAAGTGTGTAGAACATGATTCATGATGCTGATAGATTGTATGCAAAGTTGTATGGTATATACTGATGTGATTACAGAATTGTAACTTAGTTATGATTTTATTTTTTGCGCTTTTCTCATTGTAGACTGTTACCAATGCTGTTGTCACAGTACCTGCTTACTTTAATGACTCTCAGCGTCAGGCCACCAAAGATGCTGGAACTATTGCTGGTCTCAATGTACTTAGAATCATCAATGAGCCAACTGCTGCTGCTATTGCCTATGGCTTAGACAAAAAGGTTTGTACATTTGTAGTATAAACCTATCTTTACAAGTTAATTTCAGATACTCAGATAACGAGTAATTTGTTTAACGACAGGTTGGAGCTGAAAGAAATGTGTTGATCTTTGACCTAGGAGGTGGCACTTTTGATGTGTCAATCCTCACTATTGAAGACGGGATCTTTGAGGTCAAATCTACAGCTGGAGACACCCACTTAGGTGGAGAAGACTTTGACAACCGAATGGTCAACCATTTTATTGCTGAGTTCAAGCGTAAGCATAAGAAGGACATCAGTGAGAACAAGAGGGCTGTCCGTCGCCTCCGTACTGCTTGTGAGCGTGCTAAGCGTACGCTCTCTTCCAGCACCCAGGCCAGTATTGAAATTGATTCACTCTATGAAGGAATTGACTTCTATACCTCCATTACCCGTGCCCGATTTGAAGAATTGAATGCTGACTTGTTCCGTGGCACCTTGGACCCAGTAGAGAAAGCTCTTCGGGATGCCAAGCTAGACAAGTCCCAGATCCATGATATTGTCCTGGTGGGTGGCTCTACCCGAATCCCCAAAATTCAGAAACTTCTGCAGGATTTCTTCAATGGAAAAGAATTGAATAAGAGCATCAATCCTGATGAAGCTGTCGCTTATGGAGCAGGTAATAACCTTCACTATTTTGGTTACAAAACACAGCCTCCTAAGGAGGCCCAGGCTAACTGATTACGCTGTGATGAGTAATTACTAAACATTCGTAGTTTCCACCAAAAGCTTTTTAGCTTATGATGGCCTAACTTCCTTGGATGTCTGAGCGATTTGAAATTTAAGACTGGTTGTTTTTGTTTTTGTTTTTTTTTGGGTAATTAAGCTAACTTCTTTTCCTAATGTAGCTGTCCAGGCAGCCATCCTATCTGGAGACAAGTCTGAAAATGTTCAAGATTTGCTGCTTTTGGATGTTACTCCTCTCTCCCTTGGCATTGAAACTGCCGGTGGCGTCATGACCGTCCTCATCAAGCGCAATACTACCATTCCTACCAAGCAGACGCAGACTTTCACTACCTACTCTGACAACCAGCCTGGTGTGCTCATTCAGGTATGTTTCTGTACTACTTTGGCTTGCTTTTAAAGGTCAGATCCCTGAAGACTTTCGCTATGATGATGGATTCCACAACCATTCGTAGTTTCCACCAGAAATAACAGTGTTGGCCAATTCCTTCCTTGGATGTCTGAGCGATGAGTCATGCTTGAGCTTGAGCTAGTCTAGAGCCTAGTACAAAACCTATAGTAATGAATTTTTTCTCATGTAGGTTTATGAAGGTGAGCGTGCCATGACCAAGGATAACAACCTGCTTGGCAAGTTTGAACTCACAGGCATACCTCCTGCACCCCGTGGAGTTCCTCAGATTGAGGTCACTTTTGATATTGATGCCAATGGCATCCTCAATGTTTCTGCTGTGGACAAGAGTACAGGAAAAGAGAACAAGATCACCATCACAAATGACAAGGGTATGTGGTTTGCTTAAAAGAAGCATCTGTGTGGGTCAGCTTAACATTATTCCAAATGATTACAAGGGTATTATTTGGGAAGGGTCACCCTTAATTTAAGGCATTGCAGGGCAGGTTTATGAAGGATGTAGAATGTGCTTGGTTTAAATGCATACTTAAGAGCCCTGATCTTCAACAGGCCGTTTGAGCAAGGAAGACATTGAGAGAATGGTCCAGGAGGCTGAGAAATACAAAGCTGAAGATGAGAAGCAGCGGGACAAGGTATCTTCCAAGAACTCCCTTGAATCTTATGCTTTCAACATGAAAGCAACTGTTGAAGATGAGAAACTTCAAGGCAAGATCAATGATGAAGACAAACAGAAGATTCTTGACAAGTGTAATGAAATCATCAACTGGCTTGATAAGAACCAGGTAATTACTGTAGAACCAAGGGCATGGTTAAGTGCGGGGCTTGAGGAAAAATTAACAAGAATAGAAATTTATCAGGGTCACAATGATGATGAATGGTCCAAACATTCGCGGTTTCCACCAGAATCCCATGTGTTGGCAACTACCTTCCTTGGATGTCTGAGTGACTCAATATTAGATGGAATGGCCAGGGTTTCCAGTTTTAATGAGATAGGCTGTTCAGTGTCTTTAAACATTAATGACTGCATTTTATAGTAATCAAAAGTATGTTTTTTTCCTCCCAGACTGCGGAAAAGGAAGAATTTGAACATCAACAGAAAGAGCTGGAAAAAGTCTGCAACCCAATCATTACCAAGCTGTACCAGAGTGCAGGTGGCATGCCAGGAGGGATGCCTGGGGGCTTCCCTGGTGGTGGAGCTCCTCCATCTGGTGGTGCCTCCTCTGGGCCCACCATTGAGGAAGTTGATTAAAGTAACCTGACCTAGAATTTAGCATTGTTCCACCTAAAACGTTAAAGGACCCAAATTTGTAGCAAATTCCATGGCAGTAAAAAGTTGGGCTGCTATAGTAATAACTGGGCATTCTTGATACTTGAATATGGAACCATGTGCACAAGGAGAGGAAGCAAAGTAACATTGCACTTTATAAGCACTGTTGTTGTAAGTGGAAAAATGCAATGTCTTAAATAAAACTATTTAAAATTGGCATCACATGGTCATCTGACTCCCATGTTTCAAACCAGCTACAGCAAGCATGTTTTCTGGGGTTAGATTTGTTTAGGGTGTTTGTAATCAGAAGAGTGTCGGTATTCAAGTAGGTTGCTAGGACTTCTAACATTGAACATAAAAGGTGTTGAGTAGGAGTAATAGCCTGTCTAATCAAATGGTCTTAAAGCTAGAGCAGTTGGTGGGTTGTTTCATGAGTGGTTTTGACAGTATTCATACTACCCTTAATTGAAGATGAACCCGCTTTTATGAGCAAAGGTCTTCACTCACCGAGGTTATCAATGTGTTAGCCCAGAACTTAACAAGCAAGTTTTAAGTAGCAAATAAGTTGGGCTACATGCCAAGATTAATTTTACAAAAATTGAGTAGTTTAAGATCTCTCTCCCCAACTGGGTTAAAGGTGGCCACTAAATTCCTAGAGCCTGGTGGTGGTAACCTGCCCCCTGGTGGTCAGCTTAGTGACCATGAATTCATGCAGCAGTTTCAGATAATGGTGCAACTGAGCCATAACTTGTAAGCTATGAAGAACTGGTTGCTCCTGGGTGACCAAGTGAGCGTTGCATTGGTTATTAAAGTTCAGCATCTTAGCAGTTTAGAGCAGTTCAGTATAGACAAACCTGTCATTCATAAAAAGCGTTTTTTTTCCCTGTAAGAGGTATAGCACTATGCATTGTTTGCTTGCCCATGTTCCTGTGGTCAGTTGAAAAGATGGAATAATGCATGTCTGGAAGGCAAAGTTAGTGTGCTTTACCGTGTGTCTTAACATTTTTAGTAGTGAATCTGGGTTTCAATTTGATTCTAAAATTTAGATAAATTGGGTAAGCTAAAGCAAACTGGTGTTCCACAGCTCAAATGACCAAGACATTTCTATTCCTGAAATCAGAGCCTTGGTTAGAGAACTCTGGGAATCCAGAAGTAAACAGCCGTCATAGGTAAACTTAACAATCGTTACACACAAATTCCATCAGTGGAATAACCTGAAAAGTGGAACTACTTAGTTGGGAAATAATAGCTGGGCCTGTGTAGTAGAAAATACGTAGGTTTGGTGGCTGCTGAGAACTAGATAATCACCTCAAATTACAATCTAAAGAATGCCTTAATGTAAAAGGATGCTAAGATTTAGGGAGGGGGTTCCAGGCTTTCAAATTTTGGTAAACTTAAAAACTTAGGCTTTTTGCTCACTTAGGTCTGTAGATAGTGAAGTGTTAGCTCAATTTTATAGGGTTTCTGAGATTTGATGCTTGAAGGTATTTTTTCGTTTTAAAGATAATTTTATTTATACATACAAGAACTGAGATGTAGACCAGCGGTATGGAGGGTGAGGATTCACCAGAGACAGTGGGGAGCAGAATGGGTAGATTATTGAAATAACACTGCTAAGGGGAGCAGCAGGCCAGGTCTGCTGTGGCTTAGCTCTCTGGCCAGGGATTGAACTACCACAGTGACTTGGTTGCTGAGACTTCAATACTTGCACCACTAGGGAGGTCCTAGAAGGGTTTTTTTTTTTTTTTAAGGGAATTTTGAGTGACTTAATACTTAAGTTCCAATACCATTCAGTTCCCCTTTTGAGTTCACTGTCACTTCAGTACTTTGGATATTACACTTGGAGATTATCTTTTGCAAGTAGAAGTAAAGCAATTTGAGAATTTGAGAATTACAGTGATTTAAATCACTTTAAAGACTTACAATTTATACAAGCACTGGGTACACTCAGAAGCGTGGGAGGGTGAGAGAATTCACCAGAGCCAGAGCAGGGAGCAGAGCAGGCAGAATGTGGGACCCTTGCTGGTGGCCAGGGATCGAGGGGATCAAACTGGTGCTATAGAGGCCGCAGGCAGCTTCACAGCCCAGCGCTCAACCGCTGTGCCCCAGGGAGGCCCGATTTAAATCATTTTAAATAACATTCCTCTGGGCTAAAACCTATTGGGAGTGGTTACAAAAGCTGTAGAAGATATGTTCTAACCTTAAAATTTCTAGGGTAGTAGGAGAGACTGACATACACAAGATGAAGTAAGGGCAATTAAAAATTGCAGAATGACAGCAAAACATGAGAAAACCTTTTAAGAGCAGTTAATAGAGGAAAAGGAAGATGCAGAGAAGGCAGCCATAGGAACAGCAATTTTTACCACATTGCGTTCCATAGTTAAATGGCTTCCATTTCTCTTGGGTCTCCTAAGCCTTACAGGAAAGGATGACCGGATGGTCTAGCTATGCATGCACAAATCTTGGTAAGGTGGCAAAAGCAGGTTCTTTCCTTTTGTTGGGAATTATAAGGAGGTTGTAAGAGGGAATGTCATGGCCTATGTAGTTGGTTTTAAAGTTTTTTCATGAGAGAACTAGACTGGGGAAGAGAGGGCAAGAAATTCCCTGCCCTCAATCTCCATATTTTAAGACTTGCATGCTGGTTTCAGTTGCAATTTAGCAAGAGAATGGCTGTGTTTTGAGGTTTTTTTCTTCAGTATGACTCAAGTTTTAGTCAATAGCAAATGTACTTTGAACCTGCTTAGGCGAGTATTAATTTGCCTTTAAAACCAAGACGGGACCTCTACGAAGCTATCACTAGCCACCATGGCATGAGTTTGATCCCCTCCAGGGTCCGTGGCCAGGGAGCTGACCTACATGGAGCCGCAGACCTCTTCTGTCTTACCCTCTGCTCCCCTCAGCAGTGCATTTCAGTAGATTCATCTGTTCTGCTCCCCATTCTCACCCCCCACCCTTCTGGTTTACACCCCAGTTCTTGTGTGCATAAATAAAATAGATTCTTTGAAAAAATAATAAAACCAAGGCAATAGATTTACACACAACAGTATTATGATAATATAGTATGTACTTGTAACAAACAATAGTGCCTACACACAATGCTTTGCCCAAACAATATTTATTGCACCTATAATGTTCTAGGTCCTATACTTCCATAGGAAAATGCAATCTTTTAGATACTTGTAAGGTACCGTGGAGTATTACTCAGCATTCAAAAAAGATAAACACATGCAATTTGCAACAACATGGATGGAGCTGGAAGGGATCATGCTCAACAAAATAAGCCAGAAAGAAAAAGAAAAATACCAGATGATCTCACTCATAGCAGGAATCTAGAAAACTTAAATAAGGGACCAGGAAAAAGAATAACTATAAGAAAGAAAATGTCACAATCAACACAACTATGAACCAGAGAC